GCTCGCTGCAGGCTCTCCTGGATGCCTAGTGGCACGTTGATAATCCCCCGAATGAGGTGGTCTCCCAGGATCTCTTCTGCTGCTGCAGCCATCCCCAGCACAGCTTTGCCAAAACCCACCAGGTACAGGTCCCTCTTCACTGGAAAGGCCCGTCCCTTCACCAGCAGCTGAGGGCACCTGTCTCCCTGGAGCTTCACAGCCCTCTTCAGCATCTGAGCTGGCTGGACGGTGCCCACCGCGCTGCGGAAGAGGGACAGTGCGTGCTCATGGAGGGACATGCTATGCAGGGTGGCTGGGCTGAATCAATCTGCTCGGTGGAGTGGGCTTGTACACACTCTGCCAACACTGGCCAGGCCTTGAGAGCTGGGGCAGCCAGCACCCTCCAACCTGCAAGGGAAAGTGAGCGCTAGCAGAAGAGGCAGGGCTGTCACAGGAGGAGTAGGGAGGTCAAAATATGAACCATGGAGCTCTAGTTCCTGTTGCCTCTAGATGAAGGTGCCATAGCAAGCAGCATTTTCAAACCTCTGCCCAGGCAGGAGGGAGGGAAGGAGAGTGTCACATTCAAACTACCTGTGAGCTTGTGGTTCCCCTGCATCCCATCACCTCCTGCAGGGAAGGTGAGCCCTGCCAGCCAGCTTCCCCATCGCTGTAGATTTGCCACTGGCAAGCCATCATTTCTATTTACTCAGTTTTTGATGCCTTTCCAAACTGTGGAAGCTGCTCTCTGTCCCGGAGAGAGTGGGGTGTATGGGTGGAACAGTTTTTCACTACATTAACTCCCTTCCTCATGCTAGCCAAATGCTGATCTCATTCTCTGGCTGTGCACTGCCCCATGTGGCCCTGCAGCATCAGACAGACAGCGAGAAACAACAGGCTTGCTGGCTGCCTGATCCCTTGCTGCTGGTGGCCACAGAGTCCAGTAATGAGGCTTCCCCACCAAAAAGTAAATTAACACAAGGCTTCATTTGCTTTTATCTTTTAGTCCTCTCATTATCCATTAAAATCACATTTAGACCCAAATAGGACTTCAGATCCAGGAGAAGTTGCCAGCCATGTCTGTGAAAGCCCATTTGAGCTCATCTCCACTGAGTATTGGCATTACATTCAACAGAGATGAGCATGAACCAAAGGATCTCGACTGCTCAAGGGCAGACACTTGTCCTGACAGAGGAAAGGCAGCCCCTGCCAGCATGCATGTATCTAGTCCCTCCTAGCATTTCTCCTTTCCTCTGTTAACCAGTAGCAAGGTCACTGCTGGTTTCTCAGGATCAAAGATCCTTGTGATCTGCATCTCTCCCGCTCACAGGAATTATGGTGCAGGCAATTAAGGCAGGGTGCCAGGAGGCTGAAGCAGCCCAGGCAATGCACTCCATCACAGACCCATTCAAATTACCTGAGAGAGTTAATCCTCTCTCTAGTAAATAGATGTGTTTCGGTGCAAGGCCTTTGGCTGGCTTCTTCTGAGAGAGCTCACAAGTCCAGAGGTCTCTTTGTCCTAACACTCCCATAGCATTGCAAAGTGTTAATCATTAAGCCAGACAAGCTTTCCAACAGCTCATCTGAGTCTAAATCTGCCTTATTTTGCTGCAAGGACTCAAAGGCTCTGTGAAAACCTCCACACAGTCACCTTCTCAGGCAATGACACTTGGGCACACTGAAATCTATTGGACAAGGGACTTGCAGGGAAAACTATATGGAGAATCATAGGTTTGCCAGAGAAAAAAATGATGCAATGCTTAAGAGAAACAGATTTTAAAGGCAAAACACAGAGCAGATAAACTACCTATCTACACTCCCTTTAGGTACTGGTCAGGACTGGCTTTTCAATCACAAGGAGGGATAAAAGACAGGGTATCCTGACCACTTTGTTATTAGACTCCTAAACTTCATGGCAGCTGGTGCTGCCAGCAGTTTAAACCACTGAGCCTCAGCCCTCTTACAACGAGGGCCAGAGTAACCGTGCTAACACCAGTGAAGTCAGCTGTACGCCTCTCAGGAACTGAGATTAGCATCTCCGTTCCCAGCAGGTCTCTGATTCACCTGGCAGCACAGTGCAATCAGAAGAAGGTGTTACAGAACAGAGGTGCACCACGCCCCAGGTCACCTCGTCTGAGCTGCGATACAGGGTTTGCAGAAGTGGTTGGAGAGAAAGGCTTGAATGGAGCCAGGGGAATTTAAGAAAATAAAGCCCCAAAGCTTTTAACAGGCTCTGTCTCTGCCTTGATGTTTCTGTGCATGGCTGACCCTGAAGACCAGGGGAATTGAGCACAACCAGACCTGCAGCTGCGGCTCCTGTCACACGTGCCCTCCTGGTGGCTCCGCTCAGCTCCAACTCCAGACACGACACAGCAGGCACAAGTTGTTTAAAAGCAATCCTCTCCTACTGGAGCTGAAAAAAAAAAATGCCAGCTTAATTCATCTAGCACTTGTGTACATACCGCTAATGCTTGCTCTGGAAAGCATTTCACTACAATAGCAGGCATGTAATCTGTTTTCTGCACTCTGAACTCAGATTATATTTTAACCATCGAGGCCAGAGTCTGCTGAAGTCAGCACGTGTCTTTCCATTGCTTCTAAGGATTTTAGGGCACGCCGTCTGACACTGATCTCAGTGCACAGGTGTAACCACAGTAAATCCAGTGTAAACCCCCCCCTGTTTTTTTACAGAAGTTATCTAACTTTACACCAATGCAACAGAGAACTGAATTTGGCACAGACCCATTAGCTTTGGAGGTCTCAGTGTGTACCTCTGCTCCTTGTCAGCTCTGATTAGACATGCAGGCTCACTGGAGGCTCCCCTTGGAATGGGGGTGCTGCTAATGATGCCACAAATCCATTTTTATGTAATTTATTTATACAGTCTCAGGCACTGGCTATTAAATGGCATCAGGGAACAACTATAAATCAGCATTACAAAATCCACTGTAGATATTAACAAAAAATAAAGCTCCTACTCATTTTACTAGGGCTTTAAAAACAAGATCAGAAGAACTGAACATCACCCCACACTGAGAAATAGGTAGCCTTGGAAAGAAAGACAATCCAAATGGCAGCTCCCAGACTACCTCCACAGATGCTGGGTCTAGAAATTATGTAATTGCCAGTTAGTTGCTGTGTATTGCACGTAGGGAAATTACATCCTCACATCCCTGCGTTTTCCTCTTCCCACTGCTGACTGGGAGGAATCTGGGCTGGGAGAAGGGGCTGAGGACGTGACTCATATTGCTTCACGCATTAATCTTTGTTCCCCAGTTTCTCAGGGAAATCACATAGGGATGAACGAGCTCTCTTCTATATGGATATAAGGTGACACGCTACAGGCACTAGGTGGGTCTCAGGTTTTACACCTTCCCTTTGTCCCTGCTCGGGATAATTTAGAGTTGGGGTATAGACAGTCTTTTGGAAAGTTTCCTAGAAGTTTGCGCTAAGCTTAGGAGGAAAACGATGCTAAGAATTGCCTGTTCCAAAGAGAGCAGGAGGACTGTAAGGGGTTTAGATTAATCCCCTTTAAATGAAAACTTCCTCAGCTTTCATTGATGAATAATGTTCACCATCTACATACTTGTTTGCATACATTACCATTATAAGCTCTTTCTTCATAGGGCTCCTCCTAAGCCTGCAGAAATTTCCACTGTTAATGCTCACAACAAAAAGCAGCAAAACCCCAGCTCCTCATTTTCACCATCTCTGGGAAAGAGGGAGGGAGAGGAGCTGGACTGTGATAAAATACAGGCAAAGCACTCATTTGCATTACCTTTCATTAACTTTTTAATTAAAGCAATTCTGCAGGCAAGGAGCCAAAGTCAGAGGGAGACAGAAACAATCCAACACTAGGGGCAGAAATGTGGTAAGATGCCAGGTAAATTGGATGGTGGCATGAGACCAAAAGCATGGACATAAGGGGGCATGGTCTGAGCCATGAACTCAGAGCCACGCTGGGGAGGAAAACAGTTGAACAAATGAGTTGGCTGTGGATGTGCAGTGAGAAAAATGAGCCAGCACCTTGCTCCATGGCAGGTACCTGAAAGCCAGAAAAATATTCCCTTCTAGGGGCCAGTCTGCCATCACTGGGCAGAACTGAGCTATTCCAGGTGCTGTGGTTGGAGGTTTGTTCAAGGGTTGGCATTGCGGGCTTGCAGTTTTCTTGAAGTCGGGGCAATTGGGCTTGTTGCAGGCCAACCCAATCACACATCGTTTCAGGTGCTGCAAGATTGGAGGACGCTGTGTATTAAGGCTACGGGATGGTTAATTTAACTGAGATTTTCAGGGGTCTAAGTGAGTTTATTTTTCATGTTATTGGGACTTCTCTGGATTTCCCCCAGTGTGGCAGTGATCAGTGGCTGGCCCACCATGGGTCAATTCCAAAATCCCCGAGGGGCTTGGAGAATATTTGAGATGGCAGTGGATCAAACCCCAATTGTTTGAGGATAATTTTGAACTCAAGTTCTAAAAGGCAGATTACATCTTTGTTACAGCAGTAAACTACCAGACACAGCAAGTTTTAGCAGTGTCTCTCGCTACTCGTTTTTCTTGCTACATGACTTTCTTCTGGCCTCGTGGTACATAAATTACCGATAGACTCACCGAGGCTTACCGCTTCCATTTTTCATGTATTACCATGGGAGTTTACCTGTGAAGTACAACAGAGCAGAGATTTTACTGCCTTAAACTCCCATGTTCCCACTTACTGACACATCTTTTCTATCATTTGATGTATCAACTTCAATTTGCCTGGTGAGCCCTGCTCAAACTCAAACTTGCTGCTCCAGATGGTCCCAAAAGCATTACAAGAAAATTTTCCAGGAGATGCACTGAATCCAGGAGGAAAACAAAGCGGCGAAGGTTTGTTCCAAGTGACTATTCTGGGAGGATTAGATGGGGGATTTTTCAGACTAATCTCTTTAAATGAAAATTTCAGAATTTGATTAATTTTTTAATCTGCACATGGATTTGCATAAAATTACCACACTGCCTCATTCACACTTTGTAAAAGAGAAAATGCCTGCAGCTAAGATGGACCAACTCATCCCTGGTCAGCTACGAAGGGTCCAGTACACAAGTGGGTGCGCAGGGACAGGGTGAAAGGCCCTTTTGTCCCCGCTCACCGTGGTGCTCCTGCATCACCAGCTGGGAAGGAGGATGATGGTGGACAGAAGCAGTACGATGAGACCAGAGAGTTGCACAGGCAAGGGAGGAAGTAGGATGGAGCCTGAATACCTTTTTTTCAAGAATATGCTGAGCTCTGGGAAACCCAGGAGTCCTAATTTCCAGTACATGGTTTTCTGTATGTTTCTTGGAAAAGAAATATGTTGCTCTCCTGACTGATTTACTCACCAGGAAAGTGTCAACAGGGTCTCTTTGCCTTTGATGGGGAATGTAGCCTAAAGCCAAACACGGGAAAGATAAGTGTTCTGTTCAGCATTTTATATATATACATCAGTATCATTAGTAAAAAAATTAACTGGGTTTGACATATGCATCTTACTAGTTTTTCTAGGTCACACTCCCTTCACTCCCTATATACCTTTTGGAAATGATTCTCCCATGCACTGGGGATTGCAGGGAAGAAAAATTTTTCACTAAAAAATCCTTCTGTAGCACAAGGCAGAACAGCACTACCCTGAAGCCAAGTCCATGCCAAGTCTACTTCCTTTCATGCTGTAATTTCTCAAACGCCCCATTCTGAGTCAACTTGCAATCAAAGTTGAGAGTCATTTAAAATACAGGGAAAGATCATAGTATTCTAGGGAAGATGAAAAGTTGCCAGCCTTGAGGACTGGAATAATAGAAAGCAGTTGAAATTCAGTACTGCAGAATACAAGGTCATGCTCTTTGGGATTAATAGCAAAAAATTATGAGCTCCTCAGTTGGAAATAATGTAAGAGGAGAAAGAGCCAGGAATATTAATCAGTCACAGGATGACAATTACGGCTGCCCTCTAGGCTGAGACAAGAGGCTATGGGGAAAGCCGCAAGCGGCAGATGTAATCCACCTTGACTTTAGTGAGGTTTTTGACACCATTCTCATAAGCACGCTGAAGAAGAGTGGGCTGGGCAAACACAGTTAGACGCAGTCACAAACAGCTTGACCACTGGGCTCAGAGGGTAGAAATCAGTGGCTCGGGGTCTGGTTGACAGCTGGTAATCAACAGGGACTCTGTTGGGGTTCGTGTAACCCTAGCAGCTTCATTAGTGACCCGGAGGGTAGTGCAGAGTGCCTAATTTGGGGGAAGTACTGACGGAGCCACCTTCCAAAGGAACTGAGACAAACTCAAGGTCAGGGCCAAAAGAACAGAAACCTCATGACGCTCAGCAAGGAGAAGTGTGAAGTTTTGCTGCTGGGGCAGGATCCCCGTGCTTCAGGGCAGGCTGGGACCCAAGTGGTGCAAACAACTAAGGAGCAACCTAATAGCAGCTACAACTACTTGGAAGGTGGTTGTAAAGACAGTGGAGATGAACCCTTATGGGTAGCGGCAGAAAGTATAAGAAGGAGAAATGGCCACAATTTGCAAGCCAGGACATTCATGTTGGACATTAGCAAACAGTTCTTTATAGAGAGGGTTGCACAGCACCGACTGGATCAGGCCACTTAGAGAAGCTGTGGTCTCTGTGCTAGGTGGTTTTCAGCATTTGGCTAGACAAAGCCACGGCCAAGCTGATCTTGTACTGGTGGTAGTCCTGCACTGAGCAGGAGGGTGGAGCAAGCAGCTCCAGAGGTCCCTTCTCCCCACATTTCTGTGATTCTATGTGGGAATTACAGTGGGACAGGATTCGACGCTCCAGAGTTTCATGCTTAGTTTCAAGAGCCCATGAAGAGATACCAGGTTGTAGGATACAAGTCCTCAACATAAACAAGCCTTCAGTCATAACCACCACCCACCAAGAACCACCACTCCGAACAGAGCCCAACAGAAATATATTCACCCGAGCAGCGCTGTTTCCAGAAGCATCTCTCTGAAATTCATGTCCATCCATCTGAGCAAGCATGGGTCTGTCTGTATTGTGCAGGTTATGGTAGTATCCAATACAGAAATGCATAGGTAGAATGACTGCATTTGATCAATATTACTCGAGCAGCGATTAAACATTTTTTCCCATTAACTAGTTTTGCAGGGGCACTATCCATAGTTCCTATTTAATGTGACATTTTGCTAGGAGATCCAATTATCCTGCCAGATAAATTCCAGCTTGGTATAAACTGACAAACTAAGTTCCAACGATTAGGAAGAAAGGCAGAAGAAAGACTAAAAAGGGAGTGACAAAATATCAAATCAACAACCCACGGTGTTATACAACTCTAAAACTTAGCTAAGTATTGTAGGTGTTTTGAAGTAAATTGTCTTATGATGGTATTGGTGAGTCACCTTCAGGGCCTACATGAGATGATCCAGGCTTTGGTTGTGCAATTTACAGTGTGGAAAAGGCTTGCCACTCTGTGCTTCTCTAAAATCTCCCATCAGACAAAAATCAATTGTAGGTTTGGAACTGACCTGCAATGGGGCGGCTGACCCTGAGACCCTTGGAAGGAACGAAGGTGTCTTTTGTTGAGTGTCCTTAGACTCCTGTGTGAAATTCTTGTCTCCGTTTCACAGTAAAAAGCAGTGAATCATTCTGACGAGCCAATCTCACCACAGGATGAAAAGGTGAATCGGGTTAGATGTCTAAACCTGTAAGGGTGAACTCTAGTGAGCAAACAGTAAGAGCAAGTAATCCCAGAGAAGACTTTTGTTTCACTAAATCATATATGCACATAAAATAATTAAGCATTTTTGAATGATGTGCAAGCAGACCTTTGACAATAGCTCACGGACTTACTGTTGTCTGACCACAGGAGGGCAATATTATCCTAAAAGCAAAAGCAAAATCTGTTCTGGAGACTACAAAAGGGAAATGCAATTAACGTTTATGAAAGCATCTATGGTTTATTTTTTTATTCTTTTCATTCTGAGTTTCTGGGGGACTGAAATGACAAAAGATCTGGTGTTCTTCTAAAATTAAAATAGCGGGGTGCTGGAAATCTTCATGGGGTGGGAGATTCTCCTAACTGTTTAAGGTACGAGATGTACAAAAACACAAACACGGAGCCTGACATTAAGGTTCATGATAGGAAAAAAGTAACAGTTCCAAGGTGCCTGTATTGGAGCACCAGCCTCAAAAGCCAAGGCGTCTTCCTCAAAGGTTAAGCATGCGCTGCTCATCTTCACCTGACGCCTTACGTGGTGTAAGACCGTAGTGCTGTAGCTGTGGCGCTTCTGTAGTAGCGCTCGGAGGCCGTTTTGAGAAAAATAAATAACACTGGGAAATAAAAATGTGTAATAATAGAACTGAAAGTTCGTGGGTGGGGAGGAAGAATGAGAAAGGGATCGTTGCGTACTTCGAAGGCGGGGGCTCTAACCCTGCCCCCGGGGCCGGTACGAGCGCTCGTGGCCAAGGAGCCGCGCGCTGTCACCGCAGGGGCCCCGCGGGACCCCCGGGAGGCCGGCGCAGGCCA